GAATAAACATTCAGCAATATTTAGCTGCTCTGGAATTATTTTTAAAAAATAATTACGTTCTTTGATTGTTAAATTTTTACCAGAAAAAGGTTCCATTAACCAAGGTTTTATCGCAAAAATATTATCACCAACTAGCACTGGTGGTACTTGTGTGCCATTTGATAGCTGTCGGTTCTTGGGAAGTTTGAACAAATTATATTTAAAAGCTTTACCCATTTTACTTTCATTAAATATAGATGCATCATTATCTCTACCATAGCTACCTATATCTATCAAAGTAAAGCAGTATTTTGCATCACATATGGCTTGTAAAACCATACTATGATAGTTTTTGTAGTTGTAGTAAGCAGATCCACTTGAAACAGAAGCTTTAATGCATACATGTTTGCCAACTATTGCAATTTGGAAAATTCCACTTATTTTCAAATTTATTTGTTATTTTTTCCCACTCATCTGAACTTTCTGGTGCCTTTAAATAACTTGGTTGCAAAACATCCCAAATAGCCTTTGTTGTTTTATTGATTATGTTGCATACTGTTGTTCTGTCCAGTCTAAAATAAAAAGATTGTATTTGTTGTGAATACCCAGTAGCCAAATATATCAGGATCACAATCAATCATTCTGAAGGTGATATAGTTTGACGGCTTCGACAAGATTTTTTGTTATGCTAGGTGCAACCATTGACAGCAAGTGTTCATACCTTTCAGGAGACATTCTGTAAAATCTATAAAAAAATTCTGTCATGAAGGCGTAACTCAGGAATTAGTGTGTTAAATGCTCCTTTTTCCCAATGATTTCTAAATAATGAGTGTATCCAAAATTTGTTTTCTTTTTTTCTTTATTCTTATTATATATATATATATATATATATATATATATATATATATATATATATATATATATATATATATATATATATATATATATATATATATATATATATATATATATATATATATAATATTATTTTAGCTATTACTAAATTGAAATACAAATCAAGTTAGTTAAAGTTAAGAGAAATGTTGTCCGAAAGAATTAAAGCTGAAGAAAAAAAATCTTATTTTTTTGCTAAAAAAAAATGTTGTGATTCTTGTTTCTTTACAATAATAAGTTGAATCTAAGTTTTATGCAGTAGACATTTTTAACTTGTTACTTTAAAATAATATTTTGTAAAAACTACAATCCTACAAATAAAATAATAGAACAATATTTATAAAAATAAAATAATGTCAATCTTTATTACATAATCAGTATTTGTAACATTTTTTTATGTACTTTTTACATAGGCATAAACTAATAAAAGTAATTATGAGAAATATTTTTTATTTTACAAAAATATTTTTAGTTTGATAATTTAAAAAAAAAAATTTATTTAAGAACGTATGTTTCATAAATTCAGTTACAGGTTCATAATATTTTATTAAGGCATGAGCGTATTAAAAAAATATAGAATTTACAACCAGTGTTGTGGCTAGTGAATCAGATGCTCTTCCCAAAACATGTCATTAGGGCTGAAAATTTTTGAAAATAATCTTTTACTATGTGTTACTTAAAGAAAAAGCTCTTTGATTTTTGAAATAAGCCCTTATAAATTTCAAAAAAGACCCCTATAATTGCTGGGCCTTTCCCCAATTAGGTCATGTGGAGCATAGCCACTGTTTTATTTTTGTTGTTTTAACAAAAATTTAAAAACGCTTCTAAAATTAATGGAAACAGCTGGGTCGTGCGACAAATATTGCAAAAGTTGTTGCGCGACAGTTATCGCGACTATATGGAAACCAACCTTAAGTCTGAATCGTGGCTTATCGCCAGTAGCATTTTAAACTTACTTTTATGAAGTTTTTCATAAACATCCTACCAGAAAAACTTTGTCGCTTCGAACAATCTCAAGACAAGTTCTAATCAATATCAATATTCTGGACCATTTTCGGAATTTTTTTTTTTTCATATTTTGAATAAAAAATAAAACTTCTTTGTTTGTATGCACTTTATAGAATTTGAGGGTTGAATCAAAATGGCATTTACATCGACATCAATATATTGATGTCGATGTCCAACATATATGCTAGTTTTTCAAATATCTTTTTTGAAAATAGTTTAAACGGTTTATGGTAAATAATTAACATTTAAATTATCATTCATGTCTCTAACTTTTTTTTTTTTTAATTTCACTAGTTAATATTGAAAAACAGTCTATAAATGCTTATTTATACTTCATCATTCATAAATGGATTAAAATTAATAACATAAAACTCAATGTCTGAATTCACTCTAATTTCTAAAATCCAAATACTAAAATTCAATTTTTTGAAAAGTATGCCAAGTATACAAAAATTAGTCGAAAACAAGAAAGAAAAGTGTGATGATGGGGGCCGTTGCTATGGAAAATTATTTTAACCACCTCGTTTAAATCTTAAAATAAACCTTTTGTGTTTATTTTCTAAAAAACGGATTTCAGAAATGAATTCAGGGATAATTAATTATCTTAAAACAATCTAAACTGAAAATTTGAAAAATTTGAAAAATATAAACTTTATTTCCTGGTAAACCACCTTAAACTGTAAGAATTTATTTTTTAAGATTATTTGAAATTAATCGATTAATTTTTCGAAAATTATTTGCTAAACGATAAATTTGAAATACTGATTAATCTACCACCCCTAATTCTAACTTGGTGAAATTGAAATAGCGGTAAAAAACCAACAAGTCTAAAATATTTCCTGATTAACAATACGGCTTTTGCAATTTTTTTTTTTTTTTTTAATTTTTTAATACTGCTTTTGTAATTAGTAACTTGATAGCGAAGTATATAGTATATATATAAATATGGTAAAACTAAGCTCTTTTTCGACCTTTGTAACCGTCTAAAACGGTATAACGGTATTAAAGTAAATAACGGTATAAAAGTTGTGTTTAACAAGAGTGTTTAACGCAACTTTTACTCATTTCCAAGAATTAAATTGCCGGATTATAAAATATTTCTTTTTAAATGCGCAATGGGTATATTATGTAAAATAAAAATTAGTTCCAAAAATCAACGTATAACTAAATAAAAGTTATACTCACTTATAATTTGTACTTCATTGCATTGATATTAAAAGTTGAAAATTTTGTCAAGCTCCTAATTGTTTCTGTTACTAAGTTAACTTTTATTGAAAGTTACAACAATTTTTGTTAAAAGTTTCCACAAGTTATAAAAATTGTATAACTAAGAAAAAAATAAGAATCTAAGAAAATTTATTTTAAACATAAGAATAAAGTTAAAAAAGAAATTAAGTATAAAAAACTTTTATTTTTTGAATAAATACTAATAAGTTTTTAAATAAAAGATTTTGTATATATTTTTTTACCATTTCTAGTTTTTTATTATTTCTAGTTTGTTTTAAAGCTTTATCTTCTAAGTTAAATTCCTTGATGACATCAAAACTGAGTTAAATGTTGTCAGTATTTTCTTCTTGTTATGATTCCCAGATTATACAAAAATAGCCAGATGGTAAATATAGTTTTTCAAAAACAGCATGTTCTGAAAATATTTTAAACACTGTTTCTAATTTAAAAGAAATTAAATTTGGATAATAATGAATATAAAACAAGTTTTTTAGTGTAGTGCAATTTCACTCAAAGTAGTTAGATGTTATTAATCTAGTTCTGTACTAAAATTTCTTTTTAGTAAAGAACTAGATTAATAACATCAATAGCTTACAAAACATTCAAAGGAGTTGTGAAAAAATGAAATAAAAAAATATTTTTTTTATAACTTCCATTGAAAATTGAAAACACTGTAAAATATATGCTGGAGACACCAGGAGTCTCCTGCATATATTTTATCAGGAGTATAAATAATTAATTTAAAGGGATTTAAATATATTTATTGATAAGTTTTAAGTTTAAATTTTGCAGTCAAAAATTATGACAATATAAAATTTGTATTTGTAACCTCTTCAAATTGTTGGGGTTCAAACTTTGTAAAGTCATCATTTTTGAACGATCATAGATTATACAATGAAGATTCTCTCTCTCTCTCTCTCTCTCTCTTTCTCTCTCTCTCTCTCTTTCTATATATATATATATATATATATATATATATATATATATATATATATATATATATATATATATATATATATATATATATATATATATATATATATATATATATATATATATATATATATATATATATATATATATATATATATATATATATATATATATATATATATATGCAGTGGGGTAGGAAGGTTTTTAAATGTTTGAAATAACCAACTTATAAACAAAAAGAATATTCCAAATTTTTTTACTATCATATGTATGACAAAAAGATTGTTAATAAAAAATTACTGTGATAGGAGAATGGGAACAAAAAACCCTAAAATTTTAGCCCTCCTGCCCCAAATGTGACAGCAACAAGTTGATGAAATATTTTTTGTACTATTTCCAACTAGACCTATATTCATTGAAAAATTTTAAATTTCATAGTAAAATATTTTAGTGTTCAAAAATTATGACCATAAAAAGTTTGCAACCCCTTCAAATTAAGGGGGTTTTGAACTTTATATGGTCATAATTTTTGAACACTATAATATAATTTACTATAAAATTTAAAATTTCGTGATGAATATAAGTCTTGTTGAAAATAGTAGAAAAAATATTTCATCAACTTGTTGCTCTCATGTTTGGGGCAGTGGGTGCTAAGATTTTAGGGTTTCTTGTTCCCATTTGCCTATTATAGTAATTTTTTTATATAAAGATTCTCTTCGTCATACATATGAAAGTAAAAAAATTTAGAATATTCTTGTATATACATTTGTATTTATATAAAATGTATTTGTATAATTGAATGTATTTATATAAAAACTGAATGTATTTATATTTTGTAATGTATATGTAATGAATGTATTTATGTATTTTTGTTTTCAGTAATGAATGTATTTATTTGTGTTGTATTTTGTATAAATGTATTTTGTAATGAATGTGTTTATATAAAAACTTTTTTTTAGATATAACATATCAAACACAAGTTTACGAAGATTGTTCAGATGCTGATTGGGATGAAGTAAAGTTTAAGTTTTCATTTTTTTAAACCTAAAAATATTTAGACAATTGTTACAGCACAATTCAAAATTGTTTAAAAATAGTTTGAATTAGTTTTGATGCTAAAATTATTCTTTTTTTATTCTTGAAGGAAATTTAAATATTCTTCTATTAATTCAACTTATAAACAATAAAATTCTATTTTAACTATAAAAATAAGATGGATTTGATATATTTATTTTGCTTAGTAATAATGGAAGTTTGAACTTTGCAGCCAAAATAATTGACTGATTTTAAAAACATGATTTTTATTAATTGTTTCTTGATAATTTTTAGAAATTTATTATATATCTTTTAATTTAAAATTTGTGGTGTATAGTGCTAAAATAAAGTTTTCAAAGAGAATTAGAAAAAAATCAAAAAATCTAAAGAAGAAAAAAAGGAAAAAAGAAGAATTTTTATATAAACTTTAATTTTTTAAATTTAATACTAAAAGTTATAATATATATTAAAAGTATTTAAGACAAATCAATTTTTGCAACAATTGATGATGATGCTAGTATAATATTGTATAATTAATGTTAAGTAAATTAAAATCGAATTTTTATCTTTAGGAATTTGACTGGCAACTTGAGTGTTCTCTCTCACCAAGTGAATTTATTGAAATTAGTGTGCTTAACCACAACAAAATATTTAGTAATAGGTAACTTATATAATGAAATAAAGAAGGAAAAAAAAAAAATAAGTTTATATATATATATATATATATATATATATATATATATATATATATATATATATATATATATATATATATATTTAATATGTAAGTTGATTTTAATAAAAAGGCAGCGTATAACTATTTTTAAATATATTTTGATGTAAAAATATTTTTACATCAAAATATATTTAAAAATAGTTATACGCTGCCTTTTTATTAAAATCAACTTACATATTAAATATATATATATATCGTATAACAAGAAATGACTTTTAAAGATATATATATATATATATATATATATATATATATATATATATATATATATATATATATATATATATATATATATATAATAATGATAATATATATATATATATATATATATATATATATATATATATATATATATATATATATATATATATATATATATATATATATATAATAATGATAATATATATAAATATATATATATATATATATATATATATAATAATGATAGTATATATATATATATATATATATATATATATATATATATATATATATATATATATATATATATATATATATATATATATATATATATATATATATATATATATATATATATATATATATATATATATATATATATATATATATATATATATATATATATATATACTTATATATTATCATTATTTATTATTGTTATAAATATATTTCAGACAACAGGCATATACAATTTAAGTGCCAGGTCAATACTTTTTTTAAAAAAAGTAATAATTTAAAATTTGATCAAGTGAATGCATGTAATTCTTCACTAAGGTAGAAGCCATCTGATTACAAAAAGTCTGTAGTTTAAGATAATTGTAAAACAAGATATTAATTTTTGCTCTAAAAACATGAGAGATATACTATCATACTTGTTGTAGCCAAAAAACATTTTTGCACATTTGTTGCAGTAATACTGAAGACGTGCCATTGTTTTATCATTATAATTTTGCCACAGAGGAGCACCATATAAACAAATGCAATATAATTTAAACAATTTAACCTATACTCTGGTAGAGCATAAATGAAAGCATTTAATTAGAATATTTGTACGTGTGTAAAGACTCTTCACCTCCTTGGTTATATCAAGATCATTGGTTAGGTCTTTTTTAATTCAACATAAGTATAAAGGCTATTTAATTACAATAAATAGTTGAAATCAAATAAAAAAGTCAAATGAAAATCGATTGCCAATTCTAAATGAGATCATAGTTTGTTTATGTGCATGTTGTATTGGTGACAGATTATGAGGTACTTTAGCAACTTTTGTGATTTCTTCAAAATATTATGATGTTTTAGTATGATATTACATAGGTATAGCCTATTTTATTAAACTGCTTAATGTTATAAGATCTTTGTGTAATTTTTTTTTTAAATTAATTTACTCCCAACAAAGCTGCAAAGCATTGCCAACTACAGCTAAACTACTACTGTAGAATCCTGTTAAGTCGGACCCTGGATAAGTCAAACTTTAACAATATTGGACAAAGTTTAAATTCCCCTTAAACTTTCTCTATCAACTTACTTTAAAAATCATCCGCTTTAGTCGTACCCTGGTTAAGTCAGACCATTAGCTAACTCATACTGTTTTTTGGGGTTCATTCAACAAAAAATTTTGTTTAACTACAACTTCTATTTTGATATAATAACAAAACTTCTGAAATGTCAATAAAAATTCCGAACTTTGAATGCTCGAAAATAAATTTAACGTCAAACAAAACTAAAATTAAACATAATTAAACATTTTCACCAATATCTTCAATTTGGTTATGTTTCAATTAAATTCTTTTTGTTAATGGCTATTATATTAATAATTCAGAAACATCAATCAAATTTCAAAACTTATAATGTTTGAAAGTTAAATATTTTTGGGTCAAATATAATTTAACAAACTAAACATTTTAGCTGATATTTTCGATTCAGTTAATTTTTAATTAAATTTTATTTATTAATAATGTCAAAGGCTGCTAAAACAACTCTCTTGAGAACAAACGGCTATTTATTATTGCAAGAAATCGATGTAAAAAGGTGCTTTCTGATGCTAAACTCCATTATTCTCAGTTCACTAAATCTCGCATCTTATCGCAGAAGTTAGGCTCTAAAGACTTTTGGAAAATCTTCAATAGCATTATTAACAAGGGTAGATCTAACATTCCATCTCTCATTCATGGGACTGATCTTATTACCTCTCCCAAGGATAAGGCAAAACTATTTGCAAAGAACTTTTCTTCTAATTCCACTCTTGAATCTTATGGACATTCTCTTCCTTCCATTCCAGTCAAACAGGTTGACCCATTGTTAGACATTCAAATCACTCCGGCTTCTGTTGCTAAAGTCATATCTCAATTAAACTCGTCTACAGCTTGTGGTCCAGACAACATTCCTGTCACAGTCTTGCAGAATTGTTCTCCAGAACTTTCTTCAATTCTCTCTAAACTATTTAACAAGTGTTTGACTGAGTCTTGTTTTCCTGCTTGTTGGAAAATGGCATCTGTGGTTCCAATATTCAAAAACTCTGGAGAAAATTCTGACCCCTCCAATTATCGTCCGATCAGTCTTCTTTCTGTTATTAGCAAGGTCTTTGAGTCTTTAATCAACAAATTCCTCACATCTCATCTTGAGTCAAATAAACTGCTGTCAGACAATCAATATGGTTTTCGATCCTCTCGCTCTACGGCCGACTTGCTAACTGCTGTAACTGAAAGATTTTATCGTGCATTAGATGGAGGCGGTGAGGCTAGGGCTATTGCTCTCGACATATCTAAAGCTTTCGACAAAGTTTGGCATGCTGGTCTTCTCCATAAGCTTGCTTCATATGGTGTTTCTGGGAAAGTTTTTGAGATTATCAAATCATTTCTTTCTGACCGGTTTATTAAAGTCATCCTTGAAGGCCAACACTCTTCTTTATTTCCAGTAACTTCTGGGGTTCCCCAAGGTTCCATCCTGGGCCCTGTTTTGTTTCTTATCTACATAAACGATCTTCCTGACAACCTTTCATCTAAAGTAGCTCTTTTTGCAACTTTATACTCCTGTCTTGACAAAAAGTCCTCTCTTTTCGATCGCCTAGAACAAGCAGCTGATCTTGAATCTGATCTCACTTCAGTAATAGATTGGGGTTCACAGTGGCTTGTGAATTTCAACTCTAAAAAAACCCAATTGCTTACTGCAAACAACTACCGTAATATGGTCAACATTCTTATATTAATGAATGGCAATCCTCTTACTGAGTCGTCCTCTTTACGTCTTCTTGGATTATTGCTTACTACTGACCTTTCATGGAAACCATATATACAATCGATTGCTAAATTAGCTTCTGCTAAGGTTGCTTCTCTTTATCGTGCTCACCATTTCCTTACTTCTGATTCCATTCTCAACCTCTACAAATCTCTTATTCGCCCCTGTATGGAATACTGTTGTCATATTTGGGCTGGTTCTTCTAACGATTCACTTTCTCTTCTTGACAAGGTCCAAAAACGCATTGTAAATGTTGTTGGACCTGGACTATCTGCTAAGCTTGAACCTCTTTCCCATTGTCATAAAGTTGCATCTCTTTCTCTTTTCTACAGATACTATCATGGTCACTGCTCAAAGGAGTTATCATCTCTAGTTCCATCAACTAAAATTCATTCTCGTTTTACTCTTCATTCAGCTAAGTCTCATTCGTTTACTGTATCTGTCCCTGCATGCTCTAAAAATTTTTATTCATCTAGTTTTTTTCCCCGCACTTCAATCCTTTGGAACTCTCTCCCATCTTCATGTTTTCCTGACTCATACAACCTTCAACTTTTCAAGTCTTCTGTCAACCGTTTCCTTGCTTTATAACTCTGTTCTTTTTTTTCCCTAGTAACTCCCAACTTAATAGTGGTTGCTTGCAGCCTTGTTGGGAGTGAATGCAAATAAAAAAAAAAAAAAAAAAAAAAAAAAAAAAAAGAAGAAAGTAGAATAAAAAAACGAGAGAAAAATACATAATACTAAAAAAAACTTAACAAAGGAGAACCATCTAAATCTATATCAAAGAATTATGGCATTCCAATGCAAATATTGTCTGGATGGTCACAAGAAAAAAACATATTATTAAAAACTTTTTCAAAAAGCTAAAATATTAATGAGTATAAATATTATTAAATTGAAAATAGATTCATAAATAAAATTTTTAGAGCATGAAGAGACAGATATTTTTATTAATATTAATTCACCTCCTAAAGATCGAGAAAGTCACTACACTTGTGGAAAAATAAGTTGAGCATAGTACTACTAGGGATGTAGTGGGGATCAAACTCAGAACTACTTGCTTATGAGGCACTCTACTACTACACCACTACTGCTTAATATATAAGATATAATAAATGGATCCAACTTTGTGTCAAAGTAGAATGATTTTTTGTTAAAAGAGACCATGATAGTATTTTTAGAAAAAAGATCCAACCTTGCAACAAAGGAAGAAAGGTAACATTTACAATGAGTTTTCAAACTTTGTGCAGAAAAACCACCTCAAATATGACAACAGAGGGATGACTAAGAGAATCGTAGAGAATGGAATCAAGAGGAAGATAATGGTGATAACAATAAAGTGAAGCAAACATAGCAAAAAAAAAAGTAGCAAAGATATGCACTGCCAAAGATTTATATATATATATATGAAATGGAATTTGGGTTGACAAACCAGATTTTAGACTGAATAAGAGTTTGTGAAATTGCTCTAAAATTTGCAATTTTTTTACCCCTATTTGAAGTAAGTGAAAATAGTGCTTGTCAAAAACAACTTTTAAACAATGTCAATTATTAGTTAGCAGAAAAGTGCACATCTTGGCTACTTAAAGCATTTTTAAATTGTACATTAATGTACACTAAATAAAATTAAGAAAATTTAAAAAAGTTTATAGTTATTATAATTTTTATTATAAATTAATATATACTTATTCTTACATAAAATAAGCATATCAATTTTTATATGATTAATATATATTATTTTTATATAAATTTATATCTTTATATTCTTGGGAAAAAATATAAGTACTCAATGAAAATTTTACACCTTTGAAGTATTGGCACCTAGGTGAAAATCACCAATTTCACCCAGTTTTTTAAAAGTGTTGTTGCAGCATCATCAAATAAAGCAAAATTTAAATATGTGTGCTCTTTAAAGAGGAAAGTTTAGGAAAGATTTTCAGATTGTTATACTTTTGTTTATAGGCTTATTGGCTTGAAATTGATCATTCACATTAAATACAACCAGGGTCGAAAAAAAATCATTTTTTTTCCAAAAAAAATCAAAAAAAAAAAGCATAAGTTTATTTTAAAAAAAAGAAGTTTAAACCAAAAAAGCCATGGTTTTTTTATGTTTAAACTTCTTTTTAATAAATAAGTCATGTTTAGTTATCAACGTTATCAACAACAGATACTGTTCTTGAATTCATGCTTGCAATACTATTTGCTATGAATACAGAAATCGTATCTTTACTGCAAATCTTGTTGAAATTGCCACCATTCATTTCTATGAATCAGCATTTCCACTGATGAAACCATGCAATTCCATAGCGTCTCTATATATGTATGTTGATTGATTTGACCTGTATGAATGGTGCACACCCCTACTCCGTTAAAATTAAAATGGCCCCAATACACTCCCACTGCTGTTTTATAACAATTACTCTACTTTTCTGATTTAAATCTTTTAACAAACTTTGGTTTTTGTATTTATCATTTCAAAGTTACTTTTTCTATTTATTATTACAAAGTTACTATCACTAAATATTATTTGCTTCCACCTCTCCAAGACCACCCAATTCTTTTCTTACAACACCTAAATTTTGTGAGTCGTCAACATTGGTTTTCTAACAGCTACATAGACACCAATTTTTTTTCCAATGTTGGATGCTACCTTTTGTTTTAAATGTCTTTAGAGTATATCTGGCACAGTTCTCTGAGATTTTTAATTTTCTTGCTATTTCTCTAATACTGATCATTGAGCCATTCTTCATACCTATTATTTGCCCTTTGTTGCTTCACTTTCTGCCTTTTGACCTATTTCTATGTATATTTACTTTTAGGTTTTATCAAAATATTCAAAAAGGCTTTAAATGCGACTAAACTGGTCATCATAAGTAGTTTTATCTAACCTTTTATATGAAATTGTCTGACTAACATAGAAATTGATAAAATAGTTATAAATAGCAGTTGGGTTGACAAGAAAGTAGAACAAAAGTTAGTTAAAAAGTTTGTATCTTTTTTTTTTGGTATGTTTTCTGTTTTCCTTTAGAAAAAGTAAATTATTAATAAAAGTAACTAAATATGAACTTGTTATTGACATGTTAGTTGTAAAGAGATTTTCTTGTTGAGAGTTTTCCTGTCTTTCAAAAAAAAAATAAGTCTTTAGGAAAAATGAATTTATTACAGTGTTTTAAAATTAAAAATAAACTCAATTTTTTACTACTATATATATATATATATATATATATATATATATATATATATATATATATATATATATATATATATATATATATATATATATATATATATATATATATATATATATATATATATATATATATATATATATATATATATATATATATATATATATATATATATATATATATATATATATATATATATATATATATATATATATATATATATATATATATATATATATATATATATATATATATATATATATATATATATATATATATGTATATATATATATATATATATATATATATATTTGGATTATATGTTTCAAACATATAATCCTTCGTCCAAAATTTGCAATCTTTATCTTAATGAAAAGTATTTTATTTTAACGCATACAGGGGGAAACCTGTTGAACAAAAGGAACGAGTTGGTTTCAAATTGTAGGCATAAAAATAAATTCCTTCTTTCGTTTTATGATACTAGCGATTAGTTGATTTATATAAGATTTTCTTTGACGTTTTCTTTTTTTGTCTCTATAGAGACGTCAGATGTCGCTCCACTGTATTTTGTAATTTTATTAACGGTTTGTTTGTTTTTGACATAGTACATGGCTGATGATTGCCGTATAGGCATGAAACTATTAGTCCCATGAAAAGTTGTTTTTTCTATATGTAAATAAAAATAAATATATATATATATATATATATATATATCGCTCTAGTTAGAAAGTTGTTTACTTTCTTTATTATTGAGCACTCTTAACCAAAATAGAGTTTTGTATTACTATTGTAATACAAATTTAACATCAATCGATATATATATATATAAATATATATATATATATATATATATATATATATATATATACATATATATATTTAGTGTTATATTTATATACATAAGTGTATGTACCTTATAAAAATATAAGGTACATACACTTATGTACAAAAATAGAACACTAAATTGAAGTAATTTGTTTTTTAAAAATTTTGCCTTTTTAGATTGGAATTGATTTGATTTACTTTATTTTCTTTTCAGAGTTGTTGGTGTGTTTCGTATGGTATTGCAACGACTGATTAATGAACCACATTTAGATATAACTGATAATTTATTGGATGGAAATAATACTGTTCTTAAGGTTATTTTACTTTTTATGATAGATTTATGAAAGATTTTAAAATCAATAATGAAAATTATTGTATAGATTTTTTTTATTAAACATGTTTTTATTATATAATATATAATCCTTATCTAACACATTAGAGAAGTCCCTAATAATACCAAAATGAAAATAAAAATTTAAAAATAATGATCATATTTTATAAAAACATCAAAAAAATATTTACAATGAATAAATTTAAGTTCTAAAAAACACATAGTTTTGTTGCAATATAATCAGGGATTATCTTTTTCCGGATATTTCCGCAATTTCGGATATTTTTCTCAACTTTTAGCTTTTCCAGATATCAAAAATGTTTTCCATACATACAAGTTAAGGTATATATTTTTCTAGTATATTTGTTTTTTAAGCTTTTTCACTCATTATTTATACAACTATCTAGTAAAGTTAAAAAAAAATTAAAAACAACTCAGCTAAAAGCAAAAATAAGAAGAATATAAAGGAAAATGTATTCCGGATTTTTTAGGGATATTTTACCCTAATGATTTTCCGGATTTTTTAGGGATATTTTACCCTAATGATTTTCCGGATTTTTAAAATATGACCTGGATGATCTATTAATATAATCTAATATAATATTTCTTATATCAATTGGTTATTATTTCTAAATATTGGTTATTATTTCTAAATATTTACAGTGAATAAATTAAAATATTTACAGTGAATAAATTAAAATCCTTAGTTTTGATGCAGTAAAATCTAATATAATATTTCTTATATCAATTAATTATTATTTCTAAATTATTTATAAAGTTTTTAATAAGTATTTTACAAAATTTGGCTTCTTTTAAAACCCAGCTTGACAAAAAATAAATTTATTTGTCGTCACTTGAAAAAAGCCAAAATATTACTCTTACTTGTTCATAATGTTATTTACAAATAAGAAAATAGCTTTTTTTTTAGGCACAAATTTCATTAGAGCTCACTTATAACCCACCTATAGGAAGTGCCATTGATTCAGTTTTTGGTTCTTACCAAAGTAAAAGTTTATACAGTGATAACCATGACGAGATAGATACAGGTATATGTTCTAAAAGGAAAGGTTCACAGTTAAGTTTACCGACATTCAAAGAAAATGGAACTGTTAATGATTCTTCACTTAGTCTTACCAATAACAAAAAAAAAAAGTTGAATAGGTATTTTAAGTTATTATTGTTTTTTATAAAAAAAAAAATTTAATTTTTATTTTTGTTATTTATATGTGATAGTGTTGTAGCTTGATTTGTTAGCAAGAAGTCCCAAGTTTGATCCCACCATATATCTATCTCTATCTGTACTGTACCAAACTTTTTTCTAGGCAGCAGCCTTTTTTATCAAGGCTCATGTTTAATAGTTAAAGGGCTGAGAGAGGGTAACAACAATTAAAAAAAAGTAATAACCTTGATTTTAGTGGCCCTTTTGGCTTTGGTGAGGTAAATACAGTTGAAAAAATTAAAGCTTATAATTAATTTATAGTTTACATTATATTCTCCTCTCTAAAATATTTTTTTGAGGCAATAAAAAGCAATGATTTTTTTCTTTTATTCAGATCGAAATCTGAAAGTCAATTTAGTTCCAATCTTTCTGCACAAAAGACTTTGGATGGGTTAGGAGTTGTTGTTGGTCCATTTGGTCAGATGCTTCAATCTAAAGAACCTATGACTATGCAGGAGTCTATGATTAGTCTTAATACAACTCTTGGTTTAAAGGATGGGATGCTGTTAGTAATGCCATATATTGAGTTTTATTTAATACTTTTAAAATGTTAAAAAAGTCTGATTTAAATATTTTTTTAGTCATCAACATCCAAAGGTACGATTGGAGACATATGAGTCAGTTAAAGAAATAGACTACCAAGTTCAGTTACGTATTATTGAAGCTCGACAACTTTCTGGTATGCAACTTGATCCAGTTTGTACCATTACTATCGGAAATCAAAAGAAACACACAGCTGTTAAAGAACAAACAAACACACCATTTTGGGATGAATTTTTTGTATTTGATTTTAAAATGCCAGCACAAGTCTTATTTGATAAGATAATTAACTTCCAAGTTTTTTCTGGTCGTAATCTTGTCAGTCAAGGTGTGCTTATCGGAAGTTTTAAGGTATTTCTCTAAGATTAAATTATTTCTTTTTTTTGTTGTTGTTGTTGTTGTTTACAATCTTTTAATAACACATCATGCACAAAATGATGTCATCAACATTTAAAAGATTGTTGTTTAATAAAATAATGCCATCGAGATTTAAAATGAAATCATCTAGATTGTTGTTAAACAATATACTTATGAAGCTGTCCTAAATTCAAAATCACTATGATACCTTCCTTATTTATTATGACATTATTCATTTATGCTTGTTGATATTGTGTAAAATGATGACATATAGAATAGAGTGATTTTGCTTTTAAAATATGGTGACTAAAGTAAAATATATTGTTATTATACCTATCATTAAAAAAGTAAAAGTTCCTCTTATTATTGTTATATAATTCTGTTATAATAGTTTACTTGACTAAAGTCAAATAAATATTTAAAACTTATAGTTTAAAAATAAAAGTTTATATTGTTCTTCAAAAAATATTTATATTATTCTTCAAAAGTATTTATTTTATTTATCATATTCTTTGTTTATGAATTGTTTTTATTTTTGTCATTTGCATTTGTTAGCTTGATATTGGAACTGTCTATTCACAACAAGACCACCGCTTTGTTCGTCAATGGGCTGTATTAACAGATCCTGAAGAAACTTTGGGTGCATCTGGCGCTGGTATTAAAGTAAAAATCTTATCATTAGTTTTTCACATTATTTTAAAAAGCAAATTTTATTTTATAAAAGTGTACAAGTTTAAAGATTTCTTTTGTAATAAAATATTGAGTATTGTAAAAAAGTATTAAGGAATATGAGAAAGAATGTCGAGATGTTAAATTGTTGTGAAGTTGTTATAAATTTGTCGTGAAGTTGTTATTAAGTTGTTATGAAGTTGTTGTGAAGTTGTTGTGAAGTTGTTGTAAAGTAAGGCAAGATGGAATTTGTATTTTTACTAAGACACATACCTTGAAAAGTACATTGTGAAGGTTGCTGGCAGTTGCACATTGGAACAGTTATATTGGAAGCAATACATATTATTTTTTTATTGTGTGAATTAATAATATTGGTGATGTTTGGAAGACAGCTATAACTGACTTATAACTGAGTTATTCCTACTAGATATTTTGGGAAACTTATGTTTTTTGGAAAAAGCTTTTCAATTAGATTTTTTGCAAAAATTTTTTGTTATGTTGGTTCTTATACTTTGTGAAAACTGAGGATTAAACCAATTAGTTAAACTAAACTGAGGATTAAACCAATCAATTAAACTAAACTAAGGATTAAATCAATCAGTTAAACTAAACTGAGGATTAAACTATATAAAGTTTTATGATCTTGATTTTGGTTTTGTTGAGGCAAGGTTTTTTCGGAAATTAATTTTTTCATTATATTTTTTTTCATTATATCCTTTTTTTTCATTATATCCTTTTTTTTCATTATATCTTTTTTTTTCATTATATCCTTTTTTTTCATTATATCATTTTTTTTTCATTATATCGTGCTAATGAATTGTTATAAAATGATGTTGCTCTAGAGAAAACTTTCTTGCTAGATAAAATATTGCTAATATGGTTGGATATCATCCAGCACTTCCTTGCTGGATGAAATATTGCTAATATTGGATATCTTAATTGGTATTGATTTAATAATACTAGGGGGTGGTTAGAATTTATGTTGATGTATAATGAATGGTCACCTGGTATGTATAATGGATGGTCACCTTTTGTATGATTGGAAAGTATGGTTTTGGTTGTTAGTTTTAGATTAAACTTGAGTAATTTATATTATTAACCATTTCATCACGTCATTCGTATTGTGCCATTGGTTTGTGTTTTACAAGAATGGCATTTCTCTTTTTTTTGTTGATGTTTTCCAGTAAAATTTTACTAATCTTGCCAATTTATGGTTTTGATGGATTAGTTAATCAATATTTATTGTTGTATCAATAAGTATTGTTGGCAAAATAATCTCTGTGTTCTTTTATTGCTTTAAACTCCATATTCATTGCGAGACACTCCATTCTGTTGTTGATACCTAAGTCTTTAACAATTACTTTAGCCGCTATATTGTACGTATTATATTGCAAGTTATCAGATTTTATGTAAGTTAACAAAATTAACAGCAAAAAAAAACTACAACTTATAGTTGAAGTTAAAGTTTATTATCTGCAACTTTAACATAAACTAAGCTAATGTCATCTAAGCTAACACATTGTATTTTGATATATAATTTTGTTGTTGTTACGATTGTTTGTAATGTTTGATGATCATGGGATCATCAAGTTATGTTTCAAATTTTTTTATTTTGTTTCATTTCAAATTGTTATATAAGATTACTTTTATTATTACTATATAATGAAAATTTAGGTGGGGCTTTGATAGGTGACTTTTAGGTGGGGCTTTGATAGGTGACTTTTAGGTGGGGCTTTGACTTTGATAGCCTCAACTAGATGATTTGACATTGATTAGACAAATCCCAAATTTTGAGTCTCTTCTCTAGTTATATTATACTATGTGCTCATTATAGCTTCTTTTAAATCGTCTTTACTTTTTAATGTTTAAACGCCTTTTTTTCTATCCAAAATATATCACAAACTTTCTATAGGATTTAAGTCCGGACTTTAAGATGGCCATTCCAAAATATTGATGTTACTTGTATCATAGTATAGTTTCATTTTCTTCGCGGTATGTTTTTAGATTGTTTTTCGATTTTTTTAGATTGTATTAGAATGTTTTTAGATTTAGATTGTTATCCTGCTGGATTATGAAATTGTTTTCCATTTTCAATTATTTAGTAGATACTCGCAAGTTGGGAATGCTTCGATGTATTGAGAGTCTCACAATACATTGAAGCATCCATTTTGTCATCAATAAATGTAAATCTTTCCACTCATTTCCAACTTATACAACCTCAAACCATCACATTTCCTCCTCTATGCTTTACACTACCTAGGAAAAAACACAATTTATAAGCTTCTTCTTTTTTCGCCACACTTTCTAGACTCTATCTGATGAAGGCGAGTTCATATCTTGATTTATCTGACAAAAATTTTTTTTTTATTATGGTATCGACATTTTTTTCTTATTTCTTTGCAAATTCCAATTGACGTTTCTTTTGTTTTGCAGTTTTTCAAACTACTCTTCCTCTATATCCTATTGTTTCTGATTGTTTAAAGAGTCACTGTTGTGATCTTCTTTAACTTTTAAAACTAATTAATTAGCTGCAGAAACAAATGTTTCTTCACATTAATAATGATATTTCAATCAATTGCACCAGTGGTCTTTCATTTTCGTCCTCTGCCAGCCAAACTATAAATGGTTCAAATCAGATCATGCTTCTTAACAATCAAGGACACTGTGGTAATAAAAATTCCTGTTTCGTTTTGGATCTGACATTAGGATTTTCCTTGATTTTTCAAATTAACTAGGAAGCTTTGTTGATGAAAAGACAAATGATATTTTCTTGACGCCATTTTGCTGAAACACTATTTTTTATTTCATTTCTAGTACAAAAATAAATTACTCATTTCATTTTTACTAATTTGATTGTTCAGTTGATTTATGCTAAAATAATGACCTATTTTGTTAGCGTACGATTATTTTTTTGAGTTCCATTTTGTTATATATATATATATATATATATATATATATATAGATATATATATATATATATATATATATATATATATATATATATATATATATATATATATATATATATACATATATATGTATATATACTTACATGTATACATTTTTTAGTGCATTTATCTCCCCATTATTAATATTTTTAGGGTTACTTAAAAGTAGATATTACTGTACTTGGGAAAGGTGATCCAATTAAAGAACCTCCAAGTGTAAAAGACAATGAAGATGATATTGAATCTAATTTACTTCTTCCTGAAGGTGTTCCTGCTGAGCGACCAAAAGCTAGAATTGTTGTTAAGCTTTATAAGGCGGAAGGCTTGCCAAAAAGTAATTTTTCTATAAAATGTTTTTTGAAAAGTTTTTTTTAAAATAATATGTTAATAACATATATCAATTGTTATCTCTAATATATACTAAATGGTCAGGTATTTAATTGGTTTTAGGTATTGGTTTAAAACATTCTGCATATTGAAACTGGAAGTTGAAGTAGTGTAGTTAAGCAATGTGGTTTTTTTTAAAAAAAAAATCTTGAAATTCAAGATTTGAAATATAAATACTATCATAATATATGTATTGAGAAAAATTTTATATTATTTTGCAAAATTTATAATCATAAATAAAATTTGTTAAATTGTAGTTAATATTAAAACACTTGTACAGATTCAAACTTTGTTCTTCATACTAAATTATAATGTTAAATAAAGATATTGAAAAACAGATATTTAATGTACAAATATTTTTTGCATAAATCAGCAACGTTTTTGTTGCTATAATACTTATACTATAAAGATTTTTGTTGTTGTTTTTTTTTTGTATGATATTTGACATGTGTAATATAGAGTGAAACATTAGAATAAGTTTTTTTTTTTAAAAATTAAAAAAAAACAAAACAACAAAGTTACTTATTACTTTAAGTTAATTAGTTACCAACCAAATTTTAAAACTTGAAATTATTTGGTAAACAACCAAGTTTAATTAATTTAATTATAATTAATTAACATTTTCTTTAATTTAAAAAGTAATTTAAAGCCATAAAAGTAGTATAAGTTTTTTATAATTGTCACGAAAATAAATTCTTTATTATGTTACAAGGTAACCAAGGTAACATCCTTCTGCTCTAGGTAATCTGCTCTCAGAAAAACAATTTGTTATTAAGAACATGTATTATAAATGTTTTTTTTAAATGTAAAATGGGTAAAATTTTATTGTTTAAATTAAGATAGTGTGTTTACATACATTTTTGTTATTGAGTTTTGTTATTGAGAATTTGTTATTACAAAAACGAATTAAAAACAGTTCACAAATATATTCACTATAAATATAAAACATGTATATGTCTTTCTTTCACATGTGTATATATATATATATATATATATATATATATATATATATATATATATATATATATATATATATATATATATATGTATATATATATATATATATATATATATATATATATATATATATATATATATATATATATATATATATATACATATGTATATATATATATATATATATATATATATATATATATATATATATATATATATATATATATACATATGTATATATATATATATATATATATATATATATTGAAGTTTAAAAATTTATACATATATACAAAAAATATGTATTATATATATTTTTTAGTGAACTCTGGGTTAATGGCTCATATGAAACGAGCTTTTACTGGTGAGGTTCGTGATCTTGCTGATCCATACATTGAAGTTTCATTTGCTGGACATAAGGTCTGTTACGTTTAACTCTTGTAATAATTTTAGTTAAAATTTAAATTGCTAAATTAAAAATGTAGTTTTATGTATTTTTACTATTGCGTTCGTATAAAAATATTAGAACCCAAAAGTCGCACTGACCTCAGTGCTTGCATTATATATCATTTTAGATAAGTTTGTAAAATGAAAATATTTATACTTTTATCGCATAATTTTTAATAACGTGCTCACGAATGGTATTTATTATAATTTACTCACTATTGTATAATACTTTTTGATATTTTAATTAAATAAGTTAATTTTTTATTAAATGATAATTAGGTAAAAGTTTTTTTTTTTTATTTAAAAGAGTTCGCTTAATATTATAAAACATTAGAAAAGATCAAAGTTTTGTAGTTTGTCATGTTTGTTTCAAAAGGTTCTAACTGAAATTTTTTATTTTAGGAATTAAAAAAAAAGTTATTTTGATTTTTTTTAATGTTTGATTAAAATTATTTATATTATTATTTTTTTAGTTTATATTATTATTTTTTTAGTTTATGTATTCTTTTTTTTGATTCATATATAAAAATGCATATATAAATAAAAAATAATCATATATATATCAGACTTGGTCGGAAAGCGTGTGCTATCGCACTCGATAATTGACCACGGAAATATTATTTAGTTGCGAAAAACCGGCCAGATTATTTAGTCGTTTTGAGAACATTTCAAATACAAGCAAAAAAGCGCATTAAGATTAACTGGACCAACGAGAGACAGTTAAAAAAAGAAAAATAGCTTTTAACGTGAAAAAACGCGAAGAGCAATTATTTTTGAAACGTCGCTCTTTTACAACTTTTTTTTTAAAATAAAGCGACTTTTTTTATATAAAGTAACAACTATAAAAAAACAAATGTTCTTCGATTTATCAAAGAGTATATATAATTTTTATTTATATACTTATGTCTTATTTCCAGTGCTGGATTGAGGAGGTGGGGTGGGGGTGGTAGGGCTATAGCCCCGGGACTCACAATGTTAGGGGAAATAGTCAAGAGGACCATTCAGTATTTTTTTCATTTTTACGTCAAGTCATTTTTACGCTGTGGCACATAAAAAAGGCTGCCAAAATAATGCAGCCCCCGGCCCTGAAAAGACCAACAAGATTCAACCAGATGATTTATTTACAAATAAAACTTTTTTCAATAACTGCTTCGTGTAGTTTAAAAAGTTTAACACATTTGAAACAATTCTTCTTAATAAGATGAACAAATGAAATAATTAAATGATTGAGTTACTGTAGAAATTCAATTAGCTAGATAGAAATTAACAAAAAACGTTAAATTACTTTATGAGGAGGAAGCGGAACTGCTTCACAATACCGCTGCTGATGATGTTTAGTGAGTGGGCTTTATAATTTTAATTAGTACTTAAAACAGAAAAAAGTAACTTTAAGTATAACGAGTTTGTAAGAATGGCTGAAGCAAAAATAATTGAAGTTAGTAGATTTCTAAGAACTTAAAAACTTTTCTTTCTTGGGAGAAAGAATCAGTTATCGGGTACACTGAGGAAAATGGATTAGTGGTTAAAATTATTTGTATTAACTTTGACAATTATTAATGATTTCATTGAAAATGCAGTTATTATTGAAAGTATTTTTGTTTACAAAATCAATAACACAAATTGCTTTAAAAGATTACATTTGAATAAAATACACATAGATAAAATTACAGATACAAATACATTACATACATAAAAATACATCCCTTATATATAAAAAATAAGAATATACTAATAAAATCTAAAATATATTTACAAAGCGTTGACAAGTTAAAAAAAAAAAATTTAAAACATTTATTATTGTAAACAAATAATGTTAGTTTAAAACATTTATAGCTTTGCAGATGTGGCTCCAAGAATTAAAATAATAGTTCGTTTGATAGTATACTCTTAAAATAATTTATGCTAGAAATTTCAACAAAAACAAAATTCAAATAACACTGTTTTTTAAAATATTTCAACAGAATACTCAGGACATTCGGATAGTTTTTTTGAATACTCTAGAAATTTTGGTTAGTATTTTTTGAACCAATAGAATTAGTTATTCGTAGATTCGGCGGGTTTTTTGTGTTTGCGAATATTCTTTTTTTATTTTTCCGCACTTAGATGTTTGAGAACATTCAAGTTTATGTATGTGTCCATGTAAGTCCGTAAAACAAAATATTTTGAAATTTACGACAAAATGAACTTATTATTTTGCGGACAAACAAGGAAACATACATGAACTTAAATGTTCTCAAAACGACTAAAAAATCTGGCCGGTTTTTTGCAACTAAATATTATTTCTGTGGTCAGTTATCGAGTGCGATCGCACCCGCTTCCCGACCAAGCCTGATATACATATATATATATATATATGTAAATATATATAAATATATATATATATATATATATATATATATATATATATATATATATATGTATATATGTATATATATTATAATAAAATATAATTATAAATATATATTATAATAAAAAATAATATCATATCATCAAATAATATCAAATATCAAATAATATCAATATATATATATATATATATATATATATATATATATATATATATATATATATATATATATATATATATATATATATATATATATATATACATATATATATGTATATATATTATAATAAAATCATATATATATATAAATAAATAAAGAATTATATCATATCATCAAATAATATCAAATATTAAATAATATCAAAAAAAAAAAAAAAAAAAAAAAAATCATATGTATATAAATAAATAAAAAACAATCATATATATATATATATATAAATAATCATATATAAATATTTTTATTTAGACATTAAAAAGAAAAAAAAATTTATTTGCTTTTAAATATCAGCAATCAATAGTTTTTTATTTTTAAGTTTGTTCAATGAAAAAAAATAATTAATGAAAGTTTTTATATATTGTATTAAAAATAAATATGTATTATATAAAAATTAGTTAAAGTTATAATTATTTTAGTGATGTGCATTTTATTGTACTATGTTATACAATTTTATACTTACATTTAAAAAGCATTATAATTATTTAGAATATTCAAAATAGAAACAATATACCTGATAAACAGTATACTTATTGTAATAAATAAATATTTAAATACATAAATATTTAGGCCAAAACATCTATAAAGAAGCATACCTACATGCCAGAGTGGAATGAACAAATCACATTTTCAGAGCTGGTGAGTATAAAATTTTGAAAATGTGCATCTTTAGACTTTATTGGCTTGCTTGTTCAGTTTTAAAATAGTTTTTTGTAACAGTGGTTTAAGTAGAAAAATACTCATCATGTTTGTTTGAAAATTTGAAACTATTCATCACTAGAGATCTAAAAGTTGTAAATTTAAAATTTTTGATATTTGTTTGCTCTAAAATAATTTTAAATTTCATATTGATTTTGCCAGATATGAGTTTTGAAATGGTTTTGTTTACTTTTATATTAACTTAGTCAGATTTGATGGTTTTCAATTATATTTGAATTACTATTTTAAATTCTCATGTTTTATTTTATATTATAACAACATAAATAGTAATATTATAAAAGTAAAGGTTCAAAGTTTATTTATAATTGTTTGTCCAGAAATTATTGCCATATATCGAGTTTTTTATATTGGTTGGTCATCATTACCTTTCTTGATTTTTGATATTAGTTCCAAATCAAGAATGTTAAATCAAGATTTTATGTTTTTTATGATGTGATAAAGGGGCTGGTGCGTAGATTTTATTTTTTGGAGGTCTAATTCTCACACTCTCTTTTCAATAAAATAGGTTGTATTTTATTGAAAAAAATAGGTTGTATTTTAGCAATATTGGGTTGTATGTTTTCCACTAAATGTTCAATTGTTTCTGCTTCATTGGTTTAGGTATGTAACATGAGGTTTTCCCAAAGGAAATAATCTAATGACATCAAATTATGTTGAAGAAGTTTAATTTATAACAATTATTATAAGAAAATATTTTTTTCATTATATTCATTGTTTTTTGACTGTATGACATGTGTCCTGCTGAAACCTCAAGTCTACAAAATTAAATTTACTTAATTGACAAATTTATTTTATGTAAATAAAATTTAATTTTTTCTTTGACATCAAGTGGATGTGTACAAGTTTAATTGCTGAACACAAGTTGACAAATTTGGATTATTGTCAACATTGTACACGAGCCATTGTTTGTTATAGGTATACTGCATGATGTCTTATGAATTGTGTGTTGTTGTTTAGACTAAATGCATGCAAAAAAAAGTTTTTTAAAACTAAGCTATTAAACTAATTGTTTCTTAGCGCAATTAATATTTTTTCAAAATAAATTCGCATAATTTAAAAGCAATGCCCTTGCATGAATCTATTTATGATACATTACCAAACTAAATTAACCTTTAAACAAATGAGAACTGTTGAACTGTTTCTTCATTAACTGAACTGTGTTAAGAAAAAAAGCACCCATCTTGTGGTTGACAAATGAGAACTGTTGAATTGTTTCTTCATTAACAAAATTGTGTTAAGAAAAAAAGCACCCATCTTGTGGTTGACATTTCCTTGTCTTTTGAATATTTAAAAAAAATTTATTTACTAGTTGAATTTAATACTGGTTGAACTAAAATATTTCTCATTTATTGATTTGTTTAAAAAAACCTGGTTGATAGGAAATTTTTTGGTATAATACAAGGGTATCAGAATATAAATTTTATTGTAGCTTGTTGATATTTAAACCTGAAAAAGTAATTGCAATATTAAATTTTTTTAGTTATTTTAATTATATTCAAAATGTTTTTAATATAATAATTTGTTTTTTATAAAGTTTCCACCTCTATGTCGCAGAATAAAGATACAGTTAAAGGATGGGTAAATTTTTTACTATATTGTAAATTTTTTTTTAATGTATTCCAAAGCAAAAATGGTTGTTAAAAATCATTAAATTTTTAGTTTGTTGATTTTTTTTTTCCATTTTTAAAAATATTATTCAAATTGTTAGTGATTCTGTTACTGATGAAGTTGTGGGTACACATTTTATTGACTTAGCGCAAATATCTAATGATGGAGCTAATGGTAAATTTTGTATATCAAGTATTTTTTCACTTTTTATCTCATTGTTTTAATTTATATATTTTAAAAATTGTTATATCAGGTTTCATGCCAACATTTGGCCCATGTTGGGTGAATTTATATGGTTCAACAAGAGATTTTTCTTTGTTTGATGAATATAACAGTCTAAATGAAGGGCTGGTAAAAAGTTTTTTTTAATAAAAAATTGATGTTATGCCCAAAACACTGGAATAAAGTGGTTCAACCTACCCAAATAGATATAGATTTAACACAATGTTTTATATTTCATTATACTGCATAATTATCGTTTTTTCTTTTTTTTTTTTAATAAATTTTTTTTCTTTAAGATTGTTTTTTAAGAACATATAGATTCAATGAAGTGACTATA